CTCTCTGTTTGGCCTTGTTTGTTAATTTTTCTCATTATTGCTGAGATTTGGAAGGAAATCAGAACTCTTTAATGAAATGGAGTTGTTTGTTTTCTAACCAGATTTAGTTTTCAATCTAAATGAAGAATGAAGATTAAAGGATATTTTATAAGTCCTTTCAAGTGCTTAATTGGGGATTCTCAAGCAATTTGTAGAAGATACATAGATGAATTAACACTTTAAAACCAATTAATTTTAGTATGCAACAATTAATTAAATCAGAGCTTGAACTTTCTGTATGGGGAAAGTTCAGCTGATTAAGTTTTGATCCACTTTCAGACAACAATAGACAATTACTACTGTGAAATGAGTAATTCACAGAATGAGACTTTACTTGATAACACTACCAGACTTAAGTTGGGCCTAACTTTTTCGATAGGCCTCCAACTTTTTTAGAGACACCTAGGCTTTCCCTCAGTACTAATTCCCATTCAGTACATTCAGTTCCCTGTGTTCTTCTGAATGCTTTGAAGAAGGAAATACAGTAAAGATTTTTATGTATGTTCATTCTTTGCAAGCTATGTTTTAGAAGATACTTGAAGTATTAAGATATTAACAAAGTCAAGTATGGAAATGTAGCTTAGTTTCTTATGTTGAATTTTTTATATCCATTAAAAGGATGTGAATTTCCCTCTGAAATTAATTAGGATTATTGCACTGGCAAAGGAATGTCTCTATATAGGGAATGCTTCCAGTTCAGGGGTAAAGTTAATTATTTTCAAGGGGTAAATATCAAGATTTTAATGACACATATTGTAGCTGCCAACTAAGAGGTTTTCTGCGGGATAATTTCCAAATGAGACTGAGATCTTGCAGCTGCTGGCAAGGGAGCCTGCATGTATTCTGCTGAATTTCAGCACTTATGTAAGATCAACGTTGAAAGCCAGATTGATTCACTCTTATATGTGTTGAACAACATCTTGTTTTACACTTGTTACCATCGACTTCTTGAGGTCTCATTTGAAAAAAAAAAAAAAATTAAAAAGGGAAGTACTTTTGTGGAATATGAAAGAAAAGAATTTAAGGAGGGATCAGATAATTAAATTGCGCAATGAAGAAACTACTACCACAGCTGAAGATCACTCAAAGAACAAAGATGAGTGAGGAGGAGAACAACTGAGCAGAGTAAGAGACTGATAATTTGGGTTTATGGAAAGTTTTGGAATACCTCGTGGCTGTGTATTACTTACTAGTTTAAAAAAAAAAAAGTAGGCCAGCTGAGAAATCTTTTACTTTAAAAGTCACAGCTTGACGAACGGAACAGATGATTGCATATAAGTTAACTTATACAAAAAGATGTATCCATAGCAGATGCAGGTCCTCTAGCATGTAAACTATATGCAGACAGAATTCTTTCTTGCTACTTTCTGCCACCATGTTTGGTGGCTAGCACTCCATGAAGTGTATCAGACAAGGGACTTTCATCTGGTTTACTAGTTTTGAATGTAACTTTATAGTGAACACTGGAGTGAGGGCAAAAAATTTGCGAAGATGCTCCCCTTCTTAGGATGTCCTATGGGTCCAGTGGTATCTAGGCAGAGACGTGATTTTGCTCTGCCTTCAGGACAAAGACATATGTGACACAACAAACCAAATAAAAGATGGATGTTTGAATTTCATCATAGTACTGATTTTATCCTACCACTGTTTCAAACTAATCTCACTGAGAGGCCTGGACATAATACTGAATACTCAGGGAAGTATGAGGGCTGCAAGTACTATTGCTTTTCAGAGCTCTTTATCATCCTGCTTCTTACAGCCCTCTTGAACACTACAGAAAATACAGTGCTGACACTCTTGGACCACCAAAGACATGAGTTCCCAGTATCAGAGCAAATTCTGTATTTTTAAACATTTTTGCAATCCTTAAGAGAACTGGATATTCTTTTACCTCCGGGCAAGACTCTGGTAGAATACTCAGCACCAAGGAAAAAAGAAACCCAAAATTGCTACATTTCTTCAGCGGAAAGGAGGGAAATAAATGAATATTCCAAATGCAGACTTGCTTGAAGGATCTGTAACTATGTAGTTCTCAAAGTTTTCAGTTATCACTTACAACATGTGCAGTTTGCTAGGAGCAGCTGTTTTAACAAAAATGTTCTATTACTTTTTATTTGGGGATTATTTTTATCTAATTACCTTAAGGCTTGCATATGTATTACTTTTCGTGCTTATTTTCTGCACTAGTTCACTTCCAAATATTTATGCTACTGTCTAAAGGATGATACAAATGCATGCAGTAATTATAAAGATGTCTGAATTGCCAGGATACAGTGATAAAATAAAAGCTTCAGTAATGCCTCTGTCATCTGCTTCTGAATGAAAAGAAAAATAACATTGTGAAGAAGATCCAGATTTCCCCAGAGCATTACTCTTCCCCTTAGAATCCCACAGGATTGACTTTGGTGCCTGCAGGCTTTATCAGCTGTGCTTAGTGATTTCATGTGTAACATGTCTGACCTATACTCTACCCCACATTTTAAGATGTATTTTAAAACATATTGTTCCTCCTTCAAAAATATCTACTTGTATGTGGCTTACAAAGAGAAAATTTTACTATAAACTACTAGGCATTTCTTTTATAAGAAAGGAAGATTATAATTCTGTTGATCAGTAATTTCTATTTTATGGGTGGCAGTAGAAATGTTAATTTTGATCGTGACCACTACTTTCCTGCATGTACCTGATTCTACCTAAAACTATGAGCATAGGTAACCCTTCCCACACACTACTGATTTTTTAATGTAAAAGTCATGTTACGAATCACATGTATTTCATATTCTCCAATTAACATGTAAGGAATGATCTGCAAAGTATTATCTTTTCCTGCTTAAGTTCCTTCATTTTGCAGGATCTTGTAGTACTTCACTTTAAATAAAACAAATATATTAATAGTTTAGAGCTGTGAATCATCTTTCCTAGAGAAAAAGAATTTATGGGAATAATTCATTTCTGTGCCTTTTGACATTTGAAGATATTTTATATAGAAATCCTTACCGATAGCCACAAATACAATGATTCTCTTATTCTTACATGTTAGACAAGGTTTTGGGAAACCTCTGAGAAGTGTGTAATGAATACAGGGTTGAACTGAGGCTGATTAACTAATAAAAGTGCTCCTCCCTCTTCTGACCTGTTGAAGTGTTGGAGTTGCACTTTGCCCTGCTGAAGGAAACAGCCTGGGATTTATGTACCAAAATGTTTTATAACTATCAGAATTATCTCTTTCGTCTATCAAAATACTTTCTGTAGTTTCCCATGCCTATAGCAGTTGCCTTTTTAATCCTTTTTTTTCCTGGTGTGACACCAGGGGAGGCAGCAGCAGCACTCTGCATAATGAGCAATGAACCAGCCACTGATTTGCAAGCATTTTTGAAGGGCTGCTTTGTGTCAATGGCTGTTACTAGGTTTTAATTTTCCTATGAAGCAAAAATTTAACAGTCTTAAGCATCAAGAAAGAGATGGAAAATTATTTTAATTTAAAATTAGCCTTAAGATCAACCACAGGTTACAGGGAAGGATAAGATATTCTATGAAATTCTTTGCCATGGGCAAAAGGAAGATCAAACTGTTTGCAGTGTATCAATGTGTCACTGGTCATATCAGAAACAAGTTATTGCATATTTTATTCTAAGGATGAATTAATTAATTGAAGGACTTCAGATCCTCGGAGGGAACTGCTGTGTGAGTACAGAGATAAAATTTGCCTGTTTCTAGACTACTTTATATTAGGTACTATAGTAGATAGAACGTGCTGGTCCTAAGTATACAGTGGAATTCAGTCTCTCCTTGACCTCCAGAGTATATGACAGGCCTTAATATACGCTAAAGTTTTGTGATTATTGAGTGTAAATCATTCTATACAGTAAATATAATCTATTAGTTTTGTTGTAACTTTGCAGTGATAAACCTGTATGTGCTAAATTCTTAGTTATTTTATCACACAGATCAGTACATGTTGAGTTTAACACAGGCTTTGTAATCTGAAGTAAATTGTGTCTAGATAGTTAGTGAAGACATTTTTAAAAATATTATAACATGCTTTAAAGAAACTGTTTGCTTACAAGATTCCAAAGAAACTTCACTAGATTATTGAAAAAAAGTAGCTTTTATAATATTTGTTTAATACTGCAATCTCTACCATGGAATTCTTGACTCTTCCCATTCAACAGGACTTTCAGTTTGTGAACACCCTCTGGGCAGCCCACATTTCTCTCACCAGTGCTTGTTGGGCATGGTTGCTGCCTTCTCACAGTTGCAGTGGTGCAACTTTAAGGAATGTTTGCCTAGAGCTTGGCCAAACAGGAAAACTGAAAAGCAAGGCAAACCTAATACCTGAACCTGTTTTAAAATGTAGGTTACATCGTCAAGTTTTAAGCCCTTATTGAAATGCTCCTTCTTTTGAGAAGCACTGAGCACGTAGTAGTCCCACTGAAGAGAGCAGAAACTTCTCTTTGGTCAACAGCTGCTTTTTAATTTGAAAAGCAAGGTTTTTAGTAGCCAAATCTTAGATACCCAAAACACTAAACCAACATTTCTGGTCTCTCTGGACAAAGTCTGATGATTACTTCAAAGCCAGCCTCATCTTTACTAGCAGTTCAGGAGAAAGAGTTTCACCCAGTGTCTTGGATTTTCTTGACTTCAAGCCAGTATCAAACCCTTCGATTTCCCTGAGGAAAGAAGGAGTGGGGGGGAAAGGCCCTCCAGCCCTCATCGATATGACCCTGTGCAGAATTCAGCTCTGGTTTTTGTTTTGCCAGTCTCTGATACAAAACTACTAACTGCCGTTTCAAGGGCTTTTTGTGCTTCTGGCTACACACTGATAAGATAAAAGGCATTCAGATATTGAGACAGAAGATGCTGTATCTGTATAAGGAAATATTACCATTTTAACTTTAACTAGACTTTAATTATGATTAAATGTTTTGTTTTAACAAAGAAAATCCTTTCTCTCTGAGCAGGTGTACTGAAGAAGGGTGGTATCTGTTTGCAGACAGCTCGAATGGAGAATTTGGTCACACAGCTGACATCGCTACGCCAGTCATCTCACTTACAGGGCCCAAATGCAAAGTCATATTCTGGAATCACATGAATGGTTCAACAGTAGGTTCTCTGGAGGTACGGAGATGTTCTTTGTTTTGGGTTGGGTTTTTTTACCACCCGAAATTGCTGTGAGAAAATTAATGTCTTGTAATTTAGTTTCATTAAAGCCTAGGCTGCTAATAAATGAAAATGAACAATTGTTAACTCCACTGATCTCAATATGTTATGATCTGAAGGAAACCTTAGCTCAGCTAAGCTGGGGAAAACGTAACTTTCTTCAACATTCAAAAATTACGACCTTTATAGACATACTGTGGTTGGAACTTCCATACAAGAAAAAGCCTTGTACTGCACAATACCCTTTGACACTGAAAAGCATCAGTAAGTATTTGGACATCAATGTCTTCGGCTGAATGTGGGAGTGTGAAAAAAAGTAGTAATTGTATTAAAATTTGATGTAAAATTTTTTAGAAACAGCTTATTCCTCGGAAAGTTTAATACTGATCTTTCAGAGGTTAATTATATTAATGTAAGAAGTATTGAACTATTTCTAGGAAATAATGGTAAAAAACTTCCTTATCCATACCCTTTTTTTCACTCCAGTTAAAATAAAAACACTTCTGTAAAGGGAATGTAACTTGTTCAGCAGCTTAGAGATCAAATATGTCGCTGCAATGTGAATGAATAAAACAGCAGTAGTGTTCTTAACAATTTTTTTCATCCACCCACCTGAGTAACTACAATGAGATTTCCCATGTGTGGCTCACGATGACTACAGCATCGGAAATGGATTGAAAAAAATCCTTAGGATAAGTTAGCAGTCACCTGCACACTCAGCATCAAATTGGGTGTAGCCAGTGCATGTGGATATAATTTAGAAATAAATTCCCACTAGCTGGGTTACTCTGCATAACAAATTATAACAAAAAGCTGGCAGAATTCAACTGTTTTGAAGATGAAATTGCAATGTGTTGACATTAGAACTGCAATCTGAGATATGTCCTTCACCCCATGCATGTGACTTGCTAGATGTTCAGAGGAAGTGTGTTCTCTGTTTTCCTGAATTTTCCTTAAACAATTTTTAAAAATTTTGCTGAATTTCTTCCAAGTAAGTAAAGATCTTGCTAGGCTGCTTGGCAAGTAGTTAAATTTTAATTCATCAGAAATAGTGAGAAACCAGAGTACTCGGTTTTAAGACTCGGGACAGATCGATTTGCTTTGAGACTTCTTTGGTTTTAGTCTAGAGAAAGGACTTCTTTACAGTGTAGGAACCCATGTTGGTTGGAATCAGGTTCACAGAGTGTTTTGTAGAAATTAACAGCAAATTCTATGGAGCCATGCCCAGTATTACTACCACAAAAGGCAAATATATTACAGATTTTTTTTTTTCTCAGTTTCAACACAGGAGACTACAATTTTCCTCTATTCCTTTGCTGATTGCCCTGCCCCAACTTAATTGATTTTAAGATGCACCGAAGGAAAAATCACAAAATGTTTGCATTTTAAACATTGTAAATAATTACCTGGTTTCAATTACTTAATTAAGCAATTAATCATGAATGTAGGAATAACTCAGAATTTAAAACTATTTAGGTAATTTCTCATCATTTTCTTCTAAATGTTCTAAGGATTATATGAATGTGAATATTTTCACTGCTTAAAAGTCTCTAAAAGCCTTTTATCCATCTCTTCCCCCAAGACTACCGCTTTTTTATTTAATTCACAAGTTTGGATTTTTGTGTGTTAGTCTGCATCCATGCCATCAAATGTCATGTCAAGACTTTTCGGCTCTTTGCATGAGTGGCTGTCTTCCTATGTTTCTATGACTTTCTTAAACATTGATTAGCTGTCACTTTGTTGTTCAGCCTTTGTCTGAGTATTTGTTGGAAGCGCTTTTGTCTGCTTTCTGCCCTCTGACTTGGCATGAGTAACTCTACCAAAATTATTAGATGTGTTTTTTCAATAATTTGCAATCTAATTGAAATGCATAGAGCTTCAAAGTGTGTTAGGGTGCAGCGAAGCCTTGGATTTTAATAGCACTTAAATTTATGGCCATATTTAACTCTAAAATTATAACCTTTAGCATGATATGATAGAGAATACGAATTTCTGATGAAGGACTTGGATTTATAATTTAGTAGGTAATTTACAGTGTATGTAAAAACGTATGTATGTGTCTAGTCACACACATATCTATAGTCCTATAAATATATAGTTTGTATTTGAGTATAGGAAAAACCTTTTCTTATTCAGCACCCTTTATTCTCTGAAATAATATCTCTAATGCCTTATATTTTCCAATTTTTTTTTCCCCCTTGAAATTCATGTCTTGTCCTGGCAGTTCTTGTCTATGAAGCCAGGTGTCCCTTTGTTTTTCTATTCAATTTAATATATTACACCTGTTTCTTTTGTTCCTTTGGAATGAAAGCTCTACAGTGTGAGGATCTGCTGTTTGCTTGGCAGAACTTACCTGTTATGCAATATCATATACACTCATGGGGCTGCATAAATTAAAAAAAAAAAATTTTTTTTCATTATGATGAAAAATGCCTGGGCTACCCTAAGAAATTTATACACAGCAATAAATCCTTGAAATCAGAAGTGGTTCACGCACCTGGTGAACTGATGTTTAGCTCTACAAGTACTTGTTGGAGACATAGCTTGACACACTTCATCAAACACCCATCTTGTTATTGTCAGTTCACTTGAATTCGGATGCCCAAGAGGTTGGAGCAAAGCATATTTAGGACTTCATGCTCATGTCAAAAAGTGTCAGCTTTCCCTAGTTCAATTATTTACAGAGGTAAGGGTGTTTGAGTCTTCCACGGCCCAAACAGATTAACTTTCTTTTTTAGAAAAAAAAAAAACAGCCAAGTTTTTATGTCTAGAAGAAAAAACATTTCATAAGAGTCAGGATAAGAAAATCTATCCCAGAATTGAGCAATCTGATGGATGCATGAACTAATATATTTTGCAGTAACTCTTGTTGTTAATGCTGTTTTTATCTTTTACAAATGGATCCTGACCCATTAATGAGCAATTTTTATTTGTGGCTAGCCATTGGATAAATTAATGGAATGAGGTAGTCCAGGTAAGGTTCTGGACCGGGTATGTTTATGAGGAGATCACAAAGTCTTAGAATTTAGGACTTAGAAAAAGTCCTTAGAATAGTCATTTACACCTGCAAATCCCTTTGCGTCAGCTAGGACATTAGGAAAAGATTCTTCACTGAGAGGGTGGCCAGTTACTGGAACAGCCTCCCTGAGGAAGTGGACACGTTGCCAAGCCTGTCAGAGTTCAAGGAGTGTCGGGATAATATTCTTAGTCATATGGTTTACTTTTAGGTAGTCTTGCAAGGAGCAGGGATTTACGCCTGATGATTCTTTTGGGTCCCTTCAAATTCCAGATATTCTGTGATTCTATGATATTTAATGGTGGTATAGAGATAAGTTGTACAAGATACTCTTGCACTTGTGGAAAATTAAGGGACCTTAAGTGAGTTGGTAATGGAAACATTTTTTTGTGACCTATAGTATTTCCTTTTTAGGTACTCTGTAAAACCAGTGACAGGACTTCTAAACTGTGGACTCAAAGTGGCAGCCAGGGTGCCCAGTGGAACAGAGCAGAAGTATTCTTAGGAATTCGTTCGAATTTTCAGGTGTGTTTTCCTATATTATGTGCTTCCTAGGCAGCTGGCTTTAGGTACTTTTATATTATGCTTGTTTCACAACCTCATTTTCCTTTTTGACCCATGCACATACTGTACCTGCCTTTCTGAATAGCAAAAGTTATCTTTTTGGCTGTCTGATTGGTTATGTGAGCTGGACATGAGCTTTTGGAAATTTCTCACTCCCCTTCAATCTCAGACTGATATACATTTTTAAGATGGAGAATCCCTTCTATCCTTGAATCCAACTCAGGTTGAATTATCCCGTTTCCTTCCCCTTAGTGTGTAGCAGTATTACATCTGGTTTTTGAAAGAAGATTCTTGAGGCTGATGTTCACTTTGAAATACTTGCTGGTTCCTAAGCCTCTCAGAGATACTTAATCATGGGTATGCAATGCTTAGTTATATCCTTATTAAAAAAAAAAACCAAAACCGACAGACAGACAGGAACTTATTTAAAAATGTGTAACATTCCCTGGTACTTCTGTCTTGGATGGCTTTTAATGAAACTTTAACATTCTTCTTACATTCATGGGAATAACTGATGAATGACTCAGAATTTTTTTTTTTTCATGCTTAATTTGCAGAAGTAGGTGGAATCTTTGCTATTAAATCAGAATGACTGGGGACTAGTATCTGTTTGTGTTGCTTGTTTTCTGGCCCTTTTTTTTTTGTACCTGGTTGATGTTAGAAGATGGTCCTTTGATAACTATAGTGATGGGTCTGTACAAGCAGTAGTACAAGTTTTCATAGCACTGTGCTTTGACACGTAAGAACCGACCACTTAGTCCAAGATTTGCAAGGACCATCATAGTTCCTGTTCTATTCTTGTTGCATGTATAAGCTTTTACTTATCTTAAGAGTGTCTTACTCTAACAGCTCTGTAATTTTTATCAGGTTGTTTTCAGGGCAAAACGTGGTGTCAGTTACATGGGAGACGTGGCAGTGGATGATATCACCTTTGAAGATTGTTCCCCTTTGCTCATCCCAGGCAGACCTTGCAAATCAGAGGAATTCACATGTGCCAACAAGTACTGCATCCCAAAGGATAATCTGTGTGATTTTGTAAATGACTGTGCAGATAACTCAGATGAGAGCCCTACTATTTGCAGTAAGTACGGTAGTTTTTTTTAATATAATTATCATAAATAACTGTGCCTCCTGTGAATTGTTATTACTTGAATACTTTTGACAGCTCATCAGCTAAGAAAGCAAACAAGGAGGCAATAATTTAATTCTATTCCTTGCTTTTAAGGATTTTAAATTACTATTTTTTAATTTGTAATCATATGATAAAAAACAAAGAGTTGTTAGTGAATTTCTTAAAATAACTCAGAAAGCAGATGTCTCTAAAAACAGAATAAAAGTCTCCTGCTTTCCATATGAAAAGAATGTATTAAAGCTGAAAAAACTACTTCAAGCATAATACCTTTGGGATATGAGGGACCTACCTCCTTTGATATTTCAAGGATTGTCTGGTCTTTCAGCAAATCATTTGAATCTGAATACTATACAATTTTGGTTTCACAGGGGATATCGAGAAGAAGCATCTGTAGTATCGGATTCAAAGAATAATGTTTCATATCAAATGGCTTCTCTGGAGAAACAGATCACAATGTATAGTACTAACACTTTATTTTTTCTAGTACAATTGTGGGAAATGCTCACCCAATCAAATCTGCATTGTTTGGTAGTATATGAACAGTTGTCTCATTTTTATTAAGATTGTGAACACAGTTCATCAAGCTCTTAGTGAATACAATTCTACGAAACAAAGGTATGCGCTGATATCTTATGAATCTAAGGCACACAGCAAAGGGACTGTGTTTTGGAAATTATTTTCATACTATTACATTTCTCAGTGATTTCCAAACCAGGAAGGACATGTTACTAAGCTATATGGGGACCAGTTCAGCTCTTCCACAACTAAAAATGACAAGTTTATCAAGTTGGGATTACTTTGTTGAAAAAGATTCTTGTATTTTTGGTCTTTATTTTCTGAAATATTTAAAAGTTGTGTAACCGTGACCTTTTTGAGTTTTCCAGATTGTCTGTATTTCCTATGAAATACCATCAGCCAAGTAAAGACTGAAGCATTAGGGGCAAGATGGTTCAAACAGGCTGATGGGATTTAGCTTTGCAGCCCCCTAAAGCAAATATTTCATTCTCATTCCTCATTGAAAAAGAGATGAACTGAAACAATCCCACAAAGATAATACTATCCTCTAAAGTGCTTTCTTTGCTTGTTATTTTTAAGTTTAAAAAAAAGGTAAAAAATTCTTTTAAAAAAAATAAGAAAAGTGCTTTCCTGACTCTATTTTTTACAGGAAGCTTTACAATCAAGTATTATGGAGCCTTAAGAGCACAGGGGTCATTACTGGGGTGAAACTTCTGTATCAACATGGATTTTTGCCTCAGATAACAAGTTTCATAGTGTCTAATTGTGCTGTAAAATGCTTGGTGACCAATTATGACTTTCTTTTACACTCAAAGTGCTTTATTCAATAGTGTCGGTGTCAGGAATTAGACTAATTTTTGCCTTTTTTTTTTCCTTATATTTTTTCAGTTTTGAAATAGGCATGCTGCATTAAATTTCCACTATATGCTGGAGAATTTGGGGTTTCTTTTAGTGGTGCTGCCTCTGCTTTATATATTTGATAAAGTAGAAATACATAATATAGCACTCACTGAAAATACACCTAACAGGAAAATGCTAGTTCTGTTTTCCCAGCTTTTTCATGAGGCAGGCTGCCTCCAAAAAGAATATAATGATAGGGAACACATACTTCAACTCTTTGTGAAGTTTTTCTTCATTCCTTGTAGCCATCAGAGAAGAATTCTTTCCTTTTAACCATATAATGGTAGCTTGAAAACCTCAAACTCAGGAGCCTGGGGAAGGCTTTAGTAGGGCAAAGTGTGATAGATCATAGCACAGGAAACAAGAAATGGGAAGTTTTACCCAGGCGTAGCAATTGTGTTTAAAAAACACGAAAACTGTGCAGCTTCCAGACATCTCCAAAGTACCTTTGAGCAGTAGGCCTTCCTGGATCACTAGCTCTAACTGTAGATGTGGTTTGCTACGTGCACAAAGAGTCACCATATCTTAGTTAATGAAGTCTTTCTGCACCATGTTGAAAGAAAGTAATCCCTAATGTCTTTTATATTCCTGAAACTCTAGAACGTTAATAGGACTTTATCATGTGACAATAACCACCAAGTCTAATTAACAATGGCTAGACAAAACTGGTCCTGTTGAGACATAAACTCTTCCTCATAAAGCTGTTAAATTACTATTGAGAGATCTGTGCCTTGGTTTTGTTTGCTTTGTAGAAGGCTCTTTTTAGCTAGTTGCATGACGTTAGTGCCGTAAAATAAGTGAAGTACACATTTTAATAGATATACTGACTTGTCAAATGTTGAGAAATTATTCCACTAAATACTGAATGAGTGATCCATGCTCAGAGTTTTCTTTAAGAATAATGTCGCTAGTACTGTTTTCTTACTACATGAGAACAAAACAAACCACAACAGTGCTGGAGAGGTAACGGGTGATAGCACTCCTTCAACCTTGTTCAGAAACTGCCAGGGTTTGCCTTGTGCTGCTTGAGGTTATCAGAGGAAGGTCTCTGAGGCAGCTCTGGTTAGATTGAGTTGAGCATACCCCTTTGAGGTAGAAATGGTATTTTATGAGATCTAGTAAATTAAATTTTGTGAAAAAGGCTGTGGGGCAGTAGTGTTTTTCCAACCTGAAATATGGATTAGTGCCAGTGCAGGTGGCTGTACTTGGCAGATGTTTGTTTTTATCTGAGCTTGGTTAATTTTTGGTTTAGCTCATCAGTCTGCTTCTGAATCAAATCTCTATTATTCTTATTTATTGCAATTTGGTTTGCATTGTAGAGTGTGCTCAAGCATATGAACTAGGCTGCTTTCATTAGAAAAAAAATTGGAAGATGAGTTCTATAAGGACATCAAATGTATTCTAACCACTAGTGGTCTTTCAGACCCCAGGATCAGTCTACACCACCTCAGTACTCTTTCCTCTGCTGCCCCCTTAAATGTCATCAGGTCCTCAGCTTCAGGCATTTTGCTTTACATATCTGCTCCTATAGCTCTCTACTTCTTGTCATCTAAGCATAGCTATTGGGAATAATATGACTTAAAATAGTTTAAATTTTGCTCAATTTAATTACTTAGTTTATTATAAAGATTCAGTAGAAATTTTGCGATCAATATAATACGATTCATATACCTACTGCTAAGCTTTTTTCTTAAATTATTAAACTCTTATCCAGTAGACTAATTCAGCAGCCCTGTGTCACTGCTCCACAAAGATTAGCTTTGCTTTCATACTTCACTACTAAGAGTTCATAGCTCTTCACAGAAGTGTCTACTACTGAAGATTTAATGTACAAGTGCACAGTCATCTGCTGTAACGTGAGCTTCTAAGCAAGCTGCCTAAATTCCCTATTTCCTCAGTGGAGTCACTCACTTCCAAGCTGAAGTTCCTGTAACTTAAAATTGATTGTTTGAGTTAGATTAGATATATATTTCTATAGATGTGAGTATTTTTCTTTGTTGACTATAGAGATCCTACAAGGACATCTAAATTTAAATTAGCTAACATGCAATATATACAGCATTAGCAGGGATGTGCAATGCCTATGCCTTAAGGTCTTGATTCTTGAAAACATGTCTTTAAAATAAAATGGTCAGCTGCATGCATGAGTTTTATTGACTCAAGATGGAATTTGTAAGTAGTTGAAGTAACTTCTTTAACTAGGACCCTGAAATATTAACTATATTATCATACGGCAAAAGATGGGGAGTGACAAATTATGTGGCCAGTTACATTCATTTGAGGTAAACTACAATCTATGTTTTGCATAAATTATAATAATATCATTTAGAACATTAAGTTTGGGGGGGTTTTAATTGTTGTTTCAGTTGGCATCATATTTGCAGACAAAGGTAAAAGACAGGAAAGCTATTTTGCTAAATAGTCCATATTTTTAAGAAAAATGGACTTCTTTCACGCTTATGACCTCCACAAAGAAAAATACAGGGAAGAATTCTTTCATCTGATTTCAGCCTGAAATTTTAGAGGTAGCTGTCTGTACTGTTTTGGTTCATGTGTAAACTCCATGGATTTTAGTTTCTTGGCCTCATTACTGGTGCTTCTGACCAGCTGCCAATTAAATAAAGCTACTTTTAAGTGGATGAACTTTATCAGATCCCAGAAGTGGCTCAGGTTCTGTTTACATTTTACAAGAGAGCTTTTGACATTTCTTATATTGTCAGACCAAATGATCCATACAGTTTCCAAATTTGTCTTTGAAGCACTTTCCTTTCCAGCAATAATTGTAAGAATATTCAGGGCACAGTGGAAAGTCTCTTAAAGGCTCTACTGAGACTCCTGCTTATTTCAGCAAGCTTAGTCTTACTTGGTAATCGTGATAATGAAGTTACAGATGCCTAGAGGAAAAAAAATCTACACAGCTTAAACTTCTGGAGTAATGAAGTTGATTTAACCTTAATTTACATGGACAGTTGACTCACCGTGCTGACTGTTTTGACATTCAAGATCAGAAAATCAGTATAGAGCATGCATGCTGTTCCTTATAAAAATCAACCAAAATTATGACAGCTTTCTTTTTTTTCTAGGCATTAAATACAATTTAAGGAGAAATGTAGATAATCATCTATGTTTGCATATTGGCTAAGAAAATTCTTGTTTGAACTCTTCCGGAAACATGTAAAAATAAACTAACAATGGGTGTGATTCAGCTCCAAGCTAGCATACCTACTTTTATGTTTTACCTGTATGTGTCTGTATGGATGCTGTGTCTTCATGGTGCTCAATACGTTCATTTGGATGGGTTTCTGTTCCCTAAATATAGGCATTTGTTATCATTTTTACCTGACCTTAACATGTTCCTCCAAAGAGAGGCTAGTTTTCTGCAGATATCTTGGATGCTCTTTGGAGGGCACCAGTTGACCTGTACCTGTAAGACCCTAAAGAGTTCTTCAGCTTGATCTGAAATAGATTGCTATATTTGGTTACTCTTATACAAGGACTCTGTTGACTATAATAATGAGAGCACAGACACTTACCTCATATATATGCAGCTTTATCCTATCGTATTATTGTATCTTAGAACATTATAAATACTCTGTTTAATATTATATGCGGATATTATTTTTAATATTGGAGGTTTTTTAAAATGTATTTGAGTACTAGGTTGGTGTATATGTACTTAATTAACTTCTTGAAAAAACATCTCTTCACATGTGTGCAAATGTCTTTCAGGTACATCTATTGGGCATTGCAATTTTGAGTTTGATCTTTGTGGATGGAAGCAGGATGGAAACGATGATTTTGACTGGAACCTCAGAACTAGCACTACTACAAAAATGGGCACTGGACCAGCAACTGATCATACATTGCAAGAGCCATCTGGTCATTATATTTTTATAAAGAGTTCGTTTCTTCAGCTGCCAGGACAGAAAGCTAGGATTTCTAGTCCTGTCCTAAGCAGAAGGAATAAAAATTG